CTGTTTGTTTCAGCCTCTTAATGGTTCAGATGTCTGAATGGTTCAGCACTTAATGGTTCAGACTGTTTGTTTCAGCCTCTTAATGGTTCAGATGTCTGAATGGTTAAGAGATTTGCCTCTGAATGGTTAAGTATTATACAGAGTCTGAATGGTTAAGACCTCTTATCTGAATTGATCAGACATTTGCCTCTGAATAGTTAAGCAATATACTAGCTCTTAATGGTTCAGACCTCTTACTGGTTCAGCACTGGTTCAGACCTCTTACTGGTTCAGCACTTACCGATTCAGAAGTTGCCAAACAGCCCCTATGTAAAAATCATCGATTTAGGAATTGAATGATTGAAAGTGTAAATCCAAGACTTGAAAGGCAATCTATCAATTCAAAATATAAAGTTATTAACTATAAAAACTATCAATATAGGACTTGAATGAGTAAAACTTTGTCCAAGACATGAAAATCTGGATTTTTGTAATCACTTCTTTATCAAATTAAATAAGTAACCTCTGGAGGAATTTTTATTATAACCAACATAAAACAAACTAGAAAAGTGATATTTACGGTTTTATGGTTTTTGAGCGACAGCTAACCAATCCTTTAGCTTTTTATTGTTGTTGTGGCTGGTTGTTAAATGCTTTTCTTAATGCAGTACTGACTACTGAGTAATTTTTTAAAGACATTTTTATTGATTTCTAATGATGTGGTTTCCAGATGGGACCATCCTATGCAGGACATCAGCCAGTTATACTTACCCCGCAGGTTGCTGCATCTTCACAACCATATTATCATCCAAATGGACCTCAGGTTTGTCCCCATTCAAGGGTTTTATCATGAACAACTGAGTCTAATTTCGAACTGAAACGTGCCAAATTCTTTTTTTTATTTCTTTTGCAGTATGGGCAGCAGCAAGTGATCATGGGCCACCCTCGGCAAGTTGTCTACATGCCAACCTACCCTCATGTAAGAATTTGAACTCTGAGATGCTATCATCTGGTTGTCATTATCATTATTTTGAATGATTTTTAAAAGGTCACTACTTTGCATTTTGAAAGTTTCTCCATATTGCATCATTGGTTAGGACCAGAATGGTTGGGCTCTAAAACCTCCCCACAGGTTCATTTATCTATTTACATTGATTTTTTGACCCTTGAACCTCTTAGGGTATCTTTGGATCATGAAAATTGCAGAAGAAAACAATACAGTCCTTATGAGTTTGAACAAGTGCCTACAGTAAATGTTTTTGAGTTTGAATTTATCTTTTATTTTCTCATACTTATATTTCATACCCTTCCCATTTTCGGTCTTGCAAACACTCAGAGGGCTTCACATATCACCAACATGCCTTGCGTACAATTAAACAAAATAAACGTCTCTGTAAATGTATCTTTTACAAATTGGGTTAGAAGTAATTGGTATGCTGCTACTTTTGACAGGAAATGCCATACAGGAGAGGAGGTTTCTAAGCACCGGAGAAGAAGCCACAATCTATCTTCCAACTTTCCAAAGCTTTGCTCATTATGGAATGCTCTTTGTTTTGCACACACACCAAACGGTTCTATACTTGTTTCTACTGTGTTTGGTTGTGTGGGTGGTGGGTTTGGGGTGGATTACCAGTTGGATTTGAGTCTCTTTATCACATTAAATTGTCCTCAAAATGTGCCATGTAGATCAACTTTGTTTTCTACTTTTAGCATTTTTGTCTAAAACATCCTCGTGATAATGTGACACTCTATAATGTTTCTTTTGGAAAATAAGTATTTAGTTGAATGTGATGGTGTTGCTCATTCGTTAGCTAGAAATGCGTTGGCTTTGAGATCTGAGTGGGAGTTTACCCCACCGGATTTTGTTATGAATCTTTTGGAGTAATTTAAAGTATTATTCCCCATCATAGAGCACGTAATTTCTCTTAAATTTTGCCTAGATTCCTTGCTCTTGCTTAAATTTTTTCAAAATATGTCCTTGACCTACACATCTAGAACTGAAAATGAAATCTGAAGTAGTTGATCAACCCGGTCTCATGGACCGGTCTAAGCCTAAAATACATAGTAAAATGGATGAAGATAAATTAAACTTTAGTCATACAAATCAATATAAAATGATATACATTTACGTGCAAAGAATGACATCAACATTAACTTTGTTATGTCTTACTTAACCAACAATACCAAGTAATTCGGGCTTTACAGATGGTGAATCAATGCTTGTCGTACTTTACAAAAGTTATATCTAATTGTCAAATTTTAACGACCGAATTTTTTGATCTATCTTGATTGTTAAAAGATCAACAAATCAAGTTTTTCATTTTACCTCGAAAAAATTCTCATTTTTTAACTAGGACAACTGGTTTCACGCTTGATTAATTGGAATGAGTGGCAACACCCTCATAGAGCAATAAATTGTTTTATATGTGGTGATTTTCATAACATTACTTAGCCATGTCAAGGGAACTAAAAAAAAGTTATTTTAAAAAAAAAACACAACACGAAGTAAGGCAATCTAGTCATAGTCTCATAGAGTCGACATATGTGGGAGGAGGACAGTTGTTGACCGCTGTCCGCTGCTGCAAACCTCACTTCACTCACTCTGTACTCTGTACTCTGTTTGTAGGCCGACCAGACAAACACGGGGCTCCGTATTTCTCAATCGGGTCGGAGAAAAAAGGGGCATTTGGGGGGTAAACGGGCCTCGGACTCATCTCCCCTCTCTCAAATCTAGTTAAACCCCTCTCCCTCTTCCAGATTCAAATCCGCCCCCCCTTCTCTCTCTTTATTCCTCTCCCAACCAAGAAACTAGCTTCATACTGTTAAAAGCCTCTTTTTTTTCCAGTAGATTTTCTGCCCAAAACTAAAAGTTCATACCCGCTTTCACTTTCCATTTCTGCTTCTGTTTCCATATTTGCATACGTAAATTCGTTAGTCGAAGGTTTTCTTTTTGGTCAGCCAGACAGAGAGAAAGGTGCGAAGAAGCACCATCCCTGGCGAAAATGGAGGCGGCTGTAGGAGGAGGAGGAGGACCGTACAATCCTCGTACTGTCGACGAAGTGTTTAAGGATTTCAAGGGCCGGCGAGCCGGATTGATTAAAGCTCTAACTACCGGTGCTTTCTCAACCCTTCTCTTCTCCCTCTCTCTCTCTCTCACTTTCTTTTCTTCTTTTCAGAACAAAAAAAATCAATTTTTTCAGATTCACACAACAATTAACTTATCCGTTGAATTCAATCTTTTAGTGTGGTTTGGAATTTCATCATGTTATTGATTCTTTGGTGTTATTTGTTTCAGATGTGATGGAATTTTATCAGCAGTGTGACCCAGGTAAATTATTTATGCATTAGGGTTTTTTTCCTCTCTTCTTGTTTCGTTCCTATGTGTTTTCCATACTAAAAAAAACAAAAGATTGAGAAGATGTGAATTGGTTGATGATAAAACAACAGAGAAGGAGAACTTGTGCCTCTACGGGTTTCCGAGCGAGCAGTGGGAGGTGAACTTGCCAGCAGAAGAAGTTCCGCCGGAGCTTCCAGAACCTGCCTTGGGGATAAACTTCGCAAGAGATGGAATGCAGGAGAAAGACTGGCTGTCTTTAGTTGCTGTCCACAGCGACGCCTGGTTGCTTGCCGTGTCCTTTTATTTTGGTGCTAGGTTTGGATTTGATAAAGCTGATAGGTACTACTAATAATCTTTGCTATTTTCCCCCTTCTTCTTCTCCTTCTTTGTTTATTGTTATCATGATAAAGTCAGGTCTATTGCACTGCATTTGAATTCTCAGTTTACTTGGGCAGGTGTTTGGATTCAAGGAATTGAATTGAATTGAATTCTAGAATTTAAAATAGTTGTAATTCAAGCTCCATATAGTTTGTGGAAGGGATTCAAAAATGTTAATGGATGAACTTCATTTTCGGATAGGTTGTGAAAACCAAATCCAGATCTATATCGATATCCAGAATTGTATCCCAAACATAGAATTTGAGTTCAATCCAGGATTTGAAACGCAATCCTATCATCCCAAACATGATGAATCGAATGGTTATTCTGTGCAGGAAACGACTTTTCACCATGATAAATGACTTGCCTACAATCTTTGAAGTTGTGACTGGTGCTGCAAAGAAACAGCACAAGGAAAAATCTTCTGTCTCCAATAACAGTAGCACAAAGTCAAAATCCAATTCAAGACCGGTAAAAATTGAATCTTTCTACACACACAACGTGTACTCTGTCTGCATTAGCTAAGCTCTTTATGCCAAACTTGTGCCCATTACTCTGTATGTAATTCTTGAATTGTATCATTTGCTTGTGGGTTTATTTTTCTTTTGCCCTTCATTAGGGGCAGCGGGCACCGGAAACTCAGGGAAGGTTCACAAAACCACCACCCAAAGAAGAAGAAGATGATGGGGGGTTGGAGGAGGAAGATGAAGAGGAGGAAGATGAGGAGGAGCACGGAGAGACTTTGTGTGGTGCTTGTGGAGAGAACTATGCGTCGGATGAGTTTTGGATATGTTGTGACATTTGTGAGAAGTGGTTCCATGGAAAGTGTGTCAAGATTACCCCTGCCCGAGCGGAACACATCAAGCAATACAAGTGCCCATCCTGCAGCAACAAGAGAGCCCGGCCTTGACCTCGACCTCGACCCCCTTTCTTTTTATTTATTTCTTTATCTATTGTGATAGAGAGACAATCTGTTCCTTTGTATTGGTGCCCTTCCTTTTTCTTTAGTTTAGCACAAGTAGTAGTAGTAGTTCATGTGAAAGTTTGAGGGTGGAACTCTGTGTGTTACGTTTAGAGATGATCTCTCCCCACAATTAACATTTACTTCAAAGTTAGCATGACAGAAAGCCCCCCAAGGCAAAATTTGTCCAAGGTCAATATGTATGTAATGTAACCTTATTCATCTAAAAAACTTAAGAAGTTTTTGTTAGACCCTTGAGGCATCTACTTGTCCAAAACTTCAAAGAAAGTAAAATGTGCTGTTTTGATTGAGTTTAATGCTATCTATAGTTAAAACATTGTATGAATAGATTCAATCTAGTGGTAAATTATGACTACATCAAGTACATTATCATTTTACTCCCGTTTTAAAATGATCTTCCATTCCTTTTTTTTCTTCATCTTAAAGTTATCTTTCCATTTCCCAAAAAGATTATGAAATGCCTATTACGGAGTATATCCCTTTTATCTCTACTTCGCCCAACCATCCCACCCTTAACTATAGTTCATCTAGTATGCATCTTAAAATAATCGTGTTAATTTTGAAATCTCGGAATATTTATCTAAAATGACATAAGACTACATCAAGTACATTATCATTTTACTCCCGTTTTAAAATGATCTTCCATTCCTTTTTTTTCTTCATCTTAAAGTTATCTTTCCACTTCCCAAAAAGATTATGAAATGCCTATTACGGAGTATATCCCTTTTATCTCTACTTCGCCCAACCATCCCACCCTTAACTATAGTTCATCTAGTATGCATCTTAAAATAATCGTGTTAATTTTGAAATCTCGGAATATTTATCTAAAATGACATAAATCTGGTACTATTAGTATGCATTTTTCTTTAATTTTTTTTACTCTTATACTCCCTCCGTCCCAAATTATAATGCTTGTTCACTATTCACAGGTCAAACTTCACTCACTTTCTTTCTCTATTTTCGTTAGCAATTTGATAAAATAAAATATTATTGTCACTACTAGTTTTGTAGATCTTTTGATGTAGTATTTTAATATGTAATTTTTATTTCTTAACTATATACCATTTGTCATATAAAATGATTTGAAAATAATTTCAGTCAAACATCGTACACCAAAACATGCGTTATAAAATGGGATGGAGGAAATACTTTTTTTCTACTGAATGTCTTTTATTTTGTTTTGTATATTAGTCAACGGAAAAAATGTTATACACTTGTCACATTCCAACGTGGCAACATTTTGAACTACACAAATAAATTTTGCACTCCGTATCTTTTAGACATTGTTGGCAACTTGGCATATAGACAAAACTAATTTGTATACTCAAAATATTAGACACTCCGTATGATGTAAGTTAGGTGTACAAATAATGAATACTCTTCATTTCGTTTTACAATTTCACACAAGATATTTTAGATTATATAATAGCATCATTTTTTTTGCTAAGGTTATTTTATATATCTATATCAAGTAACAACATTTCATTACATTATTCTTGCCAGAGGCGGATCCATTAAGCTCTTAATGAGGGGCACTTGCCCCCAATGTAATTTCTATTTTATTTAAATATCACATTTAAGTTACTCAAAAAATTAATATTGCCCCCAATAGAAAAAAATAGTTTGGCACCATTAAAGATAAATGTTCTAGTAGAAAAAGAAATTGTTTACAATTAAATAAAGAATTTAAAACAAAAATACTTAAAGTATATTATCATTTAAAGTAAAAAATTACAAGTGAAAGTTAAATGATACGGAGTATATAATATATTAGAGACTTTTTCATTAATTATTTTAATTCTTGATTGAGAGAAAATAATTTTTTAAATAATTTTACGCTGATTTTCTATTTAAAGAATCAGGGTCATTGTCCCTGAATTCCAATATTGCCCAGCCTCATTAATTTCTGTGATCTGCCAATGATTCTTGCAACTTTTTATAAGAAACAGACTAAAGTAAGAGTAAAACATTGAAAATATACCAAAATAGGACTTCCATTGTTTTATTCTTGGTATAGAAATTAAAATGCATTTACATTACCAAAGATGGTCATGTATATTACCAAAAAGTATAGTAATGTGTGCATTTACAGTGACACATTATCAGAGTGCGAAATCCTACTTCGAGAATAAAAACAAGAAACTCATATTTTGATATTTTCACCCCTATTTTTTAGTCTTATTTAGGGTGATTTCTAACTTTTTATCTTATTTGTCTCTCCCACTATTTTTGTAAGTTACCATATTTGGCTATTAATGTAAGATTTACATTAATTTTTATTTTATCTTCTTCCAAAAAATAATATTTTAATTTTATTTTTAAAGAAAATTAATTGGAAAGAATAGTTGAAATGGTCAACATAATTAGTGGGTTGGAAAGAATAGCTGAAATGGTCAACTCATTTTTTTTTCAAAACGTGGATTTAAATTTTAAACAAGGCATTAAAAGTGTAGAAGAAGACAAAGTGGAAGATAGTAAAACTCGACCAGCTGATTGTTTTTCCAACCTTCCTCCCTCATTCACTCCATTTTATTAGAACAAAAAGTCACACTCATGATATGTCAACTCTTTTCTCTAAACTAACAATCTATGTCAAAATGGTTAGAAACTCAATCTTATAGATGCCATGGTAGATTAGGATATATATATACACACACACTCTCTCTCTGTGTTCGCCGACTTCCTTCTTCTGTTTCTCGTTTCAACGTTTCTGGAGTTCGAAGAATGTTCGAAGTTTTTCCATATCTAATACGAGTTCATATCACTTACCTCGTAAATATTATTGTCAAGAACATCAATAAAAGGATGCACTCAATCCTCCATGTTCTCAAAACATCTTAAATTAAAGGACTCAACACTTCAACTAATAAGATGAATGAAACTTTAGCCACAATTTAATTGACAAAATATATAATTTTGATGGTTTAACTTAGCTTATTGAGCTTACTATGCAAGACTTGATCTAGAATGATAAGCTAAGTTTGAAGACTAATTACCAAAGAAACAAACAAGTCACCAAAAAGACTAGATGAAATACCTATAATTTTGATTTCCTTCCAGAGGGACTTAATGATGATAAGAATGAACCATCAAACAATCAAAGGATTTGAGAAACTAGCTAGAAACATCTATCTCGGCTTGTGCCTCCATATTGATTAAAAAAAATACTCAGTATCTCTTAGTTATTTCATGCAATGGAATACTTAATCAAAAGTTTTTACTTAAATCTAAATGTTTAATAACCGGTAGACTGTAGGTAACAATTTTGTACTCTTACAGTGACAAAGTATGTTTACTTATACTCCATATTAGTCTAATTTGACCAAAGAATATAATCGTGTCATTTCTTAAATTTTTTAATCAATATCAAAATAAGTTGAATAAAAGATTGTTAAAAAAGAGTTAAAAACAAATTCAATTGAACATCCTAAATCAAATTGTATCTTTTATTTTGAGATGAAAAAAGTATAATATAGATTTTACAACATTATTTTTTTAAAAAAAAAAGTACTATAAAATTTCAAGATTAAAAAAATCAAACCAATGAAATTACTAATTTTTTTCTAATTAGATCCCGCAGTTGGGCCGAGATTGGACGGGCCGACAAATCCTTGCATTTTTACGGAATTCATCTTCTCCAGCTTCAGCCCAGCTCTGAACTTGGAGATGAAATTCTCAGCTTTTGTGTCCACGTCCGGGCTGGGACAGAACAACGGGGACGGCGGAAACGGGTTCCGCTCGCCGCCGGCTTCTGATGCTGTCGGGGTGACATCAGAATCCTCTGGTTCCGGAGAATCCGAGCGGGAACTGACAAAGCTATCTATTCGGGCGTAGCCTCCTTTCACGACGAACTTCCAGGCCGGCTTTGTCGAGAACGGCGGCGGCGGCGGAGGTGGCGGTATCGGAATCAGTGGTGAAACTCCTCCGATGTTCGGTTTATCCTCCACGATCAAGACGATTTTCTCCTTGTCTCCCCCCGGTGCCGCTCTATGTTTGCTGACTGTTGGGTTTCTTGATGCACGGGGCGGCGGAGGTCTCGCTGGTGGTGGTGGCGGCGGAGGCGGAGGCGGATGCGGGATGCGTTGTGTCGGAGTAGGTCGGACATCTTTCTTTCGTTTGGATTTCTTGGAATTAAACAAGTTATGGAAAACAGACGGCGCCGGCGGTTTAGGCGGCGAAGGCAGCTGAGAATGTAGCGGAGGAGATTGGGATGTATGAATCAGAGCATCCAAGTCTTCCACGCTCTTCGATCTGTACTTTCTTTTCCTCTTATGAGACAAAGAATTCAAAATAAACTCTTTAGTCGCACTTGAACCGCCTCTCTTCCGGCCACTTTTGCTGCTATTTGGCTCCCCGTATTGCGGCGGCGGAGGCGGCGGCGGCGGTGGTGGAGGAGATGACGCCGGTGGCCTCGTGGGGTTGTTTGAATCGAAATCATAATCCCTATCCTTCCCAACATCCTTGAATGTTGGCTCCTCTACCGGAGCCTGCTGCGGGGGCCGAGGAGGCGGAGAGGGAGGCGGCGGTGCTGGATCTTTTTTCTCTTCTTTAATCGACAGCTCACCCATGCCTGGCTCCTGAATCCGGTCAACATCCTTCCAGCTCCGGCGCCGATAAAGGTGGGGGGAATCATAAAATCTGGAGGCATTGACAAAGGTATCATCAACAAACCGCCACTGATCATCGGCGGAGACCCACCGCGGCGACATTTCATAGAGATCAGGGTGAGATCCGAAAGTCCGCCGCAAACCACCAGAAGCTCCGCCGCCGGCACCAAATGAACTCCGATTGGAGGTCTCAGCCCACTGTTGAACACCCCGCTGCGGATCCGATCTCCGAGCTTCTCCATCGTCCCTATAACCGTACCAATTCGGCGTTGAGGGATTCGATTTCTGCAACTCGTTCTTGTTCTTGCCCAGTAGTCCAAACACAATCGCCAGAAAAACCAGAAGAATATTCAGAGAGTCCCAACTCTTCTTCACATCGCTCGGCCTAAACACAGAGCCACTCGAATGCTGAACAATGAAGAGTAGGAAAAGAATTGCACAGAGAAGAAGGAGGAAGACGAGGATGCCGGAGCTGAAAAAGGAGGACTCGACACGGCGGCGGACGCGATCGCTGCGGCGGAGACCGGTGTCTCCTTGTGCCCAAAATGGACTAAATCCATCCCTGTCGTCTTCCATTTAGGCAAACAAAGATAGCTTTAGGGATTTTCAGAACAAAAAAGAAAGATTCTTTTTGGGGTTTTGGAAAGATAAAGCTTTGCTTTTGAGTTTTACAGATAGAATTAAGTTTTTGAGCTTTGGGTTTCATTTATGAGGATTTAATCGTAGCTCCACCGATTATATATATATATATATACACTCTCTCCCACAATCCCTCTCCAATGTCTCCAATGGACAATGCTATAGTTACCCCAAACCCTATACCCCAGACTTACACTGACATTTTGATGTTTACACTAACAAAAAATGTTAGTGCATTAAAAAAAATTTACACTAGCACAAAGTGTTAGTGCGTTAACAAAAATTAACATTACACCAACACAAAATGTTGGTACACATCTACGATGTACAAATAAGGTACAAACCTTAGAGGTACAAATAGTTTTATCCCTCTCCAATGGTTGAACAAAACATAGTTTTAAAAACGAGACCCGAGCAGCCATCCAAACAAATGTGCTTTTTGTTACAAGTTCACTTAATCTTTTATAATATTTCATAATTAAAAAAAATTCTATAAAAATTCCTTTTCAATTTTAAAAATACAATATTATATAGCTATAAGTCAAATACAAAATCATTGATATTATTGATACTATTACAAAATGCATATCATGCAAAGATTTCATTTAAGTGTTTTTTAATATTAAATACGGAGTAACTTATTTGAAAAAAATAAAATCAACTCTTCATTTATAAAATTTTTAATGTTTTTATTTTTAATATGTAAATTTTATTTTTTAACTTAGTACAGTAACTCAAGTATATTAATATAATTCTAGTCAAATTTTATAAATTACTTTCTTTAGGTATATATATAAATGAAAATGTGTGTGTGTGTGTCTATATATATATATATATATATATATATATATATATATAAACTACTCTAAAAGCTCTACAAAATAAGTTGTGTCACGATTATATGATTTTATCAAATCACTAACAAAAATAAATAAATAATTTAAATAAAGTTTGAGTATATATAGTGTATATGTTATTAAATTTGGGACAGATGGATTATAAATTTAAGATCTTCAATAGAGAAAATTAAGAACAAACTCTTATATTATATCCCTCTTACAATATGGTTACCACCAATCATATGACCTTCTAACTTCACTCATTTTTTCTGGTCATCCAACTCTTTTCATCAATGGTAGTTTAAGGGATCCGAAAATGTTCATGCTTCCTATCCATGGTGATAGGTTGATTTGGGCCTCAAGGCATGACATTACCTTTATTGTATGAGAGGAGTCTCATTTTCATACCCATTTTCTTGAGTGTAAGAGTCATCTAGCTTTCAAATAGCCAGCAACCATTGGGCAATCAGAAAAATGAAAATAGGAAGCTTATTTTGGGGTACATGGAGTATATCTCTACTGATATCACAAATAATGCAATGATAATTTGGAATTGCTCATTTAGAAATCACCTTCATCACTTAAGACTTCCATCCGAGAAGTCTTGATTTCGAGTCAACGTAAGAGCGATTTAGAGAGATTTTTCCATCAATGATTAATATGTAATCTGGACGAATCTTTGGACGGATTAATTGAAGATGTCTCGTTTCCAATGTTAGTGTGGGAGCTTAGATCTAGAAGGAACCTGATATGGATTTATTAGAAATAATGCGATTAGGAACCTAATGCGGAGTAAGGAAGAGAGGAATGTTAACTAACGAAACCAATTAAAAGTTGATCAGTCAGTATGTGATGACTCCTTGTACATTAAAATGTAGAGACTACGTATGTAGGAACTAAAAGGGTGAAAGAGTCTAAATTTAATCCGGCACAAATTAGGAAACCTAACGTCGGGTCTTCTCAAGAACTAGTTCGACAGAAATTAAAAAAGAGAATGTATTTGTTAAAGAGTACCCACATCGGAATTTGAAGAGGAAAAATAAGTCGAAATATAAACTCATGAGTTGAACTAAGTAATTGATTGGATTCAATGGTTCAATCCAAATGTCTTATTTCCCAGTCCAGCTAATCCTACCTCGCTCGTCTTACATTTTATCACTATCAAAACAAACTAATGATGCATGCAATGAAAATTTAAGAGAAGTAATTAACAGCGATGAACAGAGAAAACAGCTAACATTAAGAGTTCCAATTGAAGAAGATACGCGACTACAGCTCAAATAGCTACCTCTAGTCTTTAGGCAGTTTTATTTTCTTCCCAAAAAATGTTAATTAAATTGAGACCCTCAATTTAAGGGCCTAACTTGTACATTTCTTTTGAATGTTTGGTTAAGATTTTGGAAAGATTCGAGTCATTTTTCTTAGAGTGTGTCATTGCAAGAAAAAGAGCAATAAGTAAACACAATTTTTTGTCCCAAATAAAAGTTACTGAGGATTATTGTCGTGGTAAAAAATTATTCATTTTATACTCATTTAATACTCCGTAAAACTATATAATTATATCATCAGGTGTTTTAAATTTTATTTGATGTAATTTTCAAATACGTCATTTTTTTAATTTTTAATTTTAAGAAATTAAGTGCAACTAAGGCCATGCGGGGTACAACATGGGAAAGGAGAAGCCGAGAAGGAGATGTCATCTCCTTCCGGAAGGGGAGGGGAACATTGCTCCCCCCTCTCTCCTGCAAGAATGGGAAGAGTGGAACCATGGGTGGCCTAGAGGGTGTGTAAAGTGACCAACGACCGCACATGACTCCTAAAATTTTAGGATCTCATATTTCTAAATTCGTCATTAATTTTGAAACATAAACGTTCTAAAATAATAAAATACGGCCGGAATGTGAAATTCAGATCCGGTCAATTTCATTTTTCATTTTTCGAGGCTGACCCGGTGGGAAGCCTCCCCGTTTTTCCTTTCTTCTTTTTCCTTTTTGTGGTTTCTTTCTTCTATCTTTTTGTTTCTTTATTTTGTTACTTCATTTCATTTTTTAGTTTTTAATTGCTCTTTAGTTTTTTTTTAATTTTGAAGAAGGAGAAGCACACCTCATTGCCTAAAAACTCACTCTATATATGATTAAAGACTCAAAAAGGTTTCCATAAAACCACCTCTATATAGCGATTAAAGAGAAAAGGGAAATAATTTATACACGTTAATTTAGGGTATTTGATTTTTCTACGTGAAATCAAACAAACATTTCGTTTTTAAGGGGAATTGTGGGTAACATTCAACAACTACCCTAAGGAGTATACCACAATTGTAATAAACGTCACATGAATACCGCTTAGGGTGACACAACCGAGTGAATACCGCGTACGTACTGTGGTGCCTTACAAGCATTCACTATAATACTCCCCTTTTTTGTATATGCACACATTTTCAGTGTTATTTTGTCTCCGTTTTAAAAATGTGGCAAACAAACAGAGAGACGAAGAGAGTACATTTAAAAACTACATGAAAAGATCTACAAAACTAGATTTGACATGTTATATTATTTTATCAAATGACAACGAAAACACACCAGAAAAGTGAATAAAGTTTGATAGAAATTTTAATTTTTAAACAGAGGAAGTATAAGCATAGGAATTTTACAAATGATATTTTAAAATAACGAGTACGTACTTTTTCGACAACCATTATGATTTTTTTTTTAATTTCAATTCATTGTACAGAGAATACTTTTTAGGGTGGTTATACAAAATATGATGTGAAAAATCAAAATATAGGCAGTTAAAAATAAATAAATTGGATACGGCGAAAAACAAGCAAAACAATCCTTCATTAAACCAATCATACGCTAATTGACCAATGACTTTTTAGATGCGTGCATTATTAGTTGTCACACGTCTTCAAAAGAAAAAAAAATCCATCATGTCAACTTGAGTTTGCAAATTTACTCTGCATTGAGGACGGAAATTTAGATGAAAAATAAGAGTGATTTAAAAATAGGGATATTTTTTTGGGTTCCATAATCATTTTATGAATTTTAATATATGAAATTATTGTATGTGTGATATACAAGAAGAATTATATTACTCCGTATTACTCCACTTAGTAGTGGGGTATTTATTTATTACTCTCTCCGGCCCAAATTATAATGCATGTTCACTATTCACAAGGTCAAACTTCATTCACTTTCTTTATCTATTCTCGTTAGCAATTTGATAAAATAAAATACTATTGTCACTACTAGTTTTGTAGATCTTTTGATGTAGTATTTTAAGATGTAATTTTTATTTTTTAACTCTATAACATTTGTCATATAAAATGATTTAAAGATAATTTAAGTCAAACATCGTAAATCAAAACAGACATTATAAAATGGGACGGAGGGAGTATCATTTTATTATTAATCATGGTTAGCATTTGAGTTTGGACCCATGAGACTATTAAGTCAATTGCCGCCGTTACTTAATTTACTCTCAATATATTGTAATCTTTTCCCGTTATTATTCAACTAATAAGAATATCATAAACCATAATCTCTCTTTTTTTGTCCTGAAGCTCGAAAATGCTTGAAATTTTCCTTCTTTCTTTGTCTCCCCTCTCTTAGAGCCTGAAAGCGCTCAAAATTCTTTTATATCTGATACAATATTCGTATCAATGTGTTGGGCTTCATTAAAAAAGAAGATCCAACTCTTTAGCACATGCAAGATACGTGAAAATGTTTATATTCTACATGTTAACTTTAGGATCGCAATAAAACACTTTTTGAAACTAAGCTTTGAACTTTTAGTGCAGCCAAACATAGTAACGTGTGTTTGATGAAGCTTTTGTTGTTTATAGTTTATGAGTCGGTACATACTTTGTCTGTCTCATAAAACCCTTCATTCCTGAAAAAGACACATCTTTAAAATGAATAATTTTGATGTTATTTTTTAATTATGACTCATATATCCTACACATCTTATACTACTCTATTATAAAGTAAGAATAGAATTACAAAATAACACCAAAATTACTCATTTTAAGGGTGTGTCTTTTTTCAAAAAGGAAGAATTTTATGGGATAGAAGAATACAAAAATAGTCTCTAAACATGGTTTCCATCAAAGTTAAGATGACGTGAATTTTGTTTCTCGCTTATAACTTTTACTACTTTTTAAGGATTGATCACAAATACACCATCTAATCCGTAACCTTCTAAAATAAAGATGGCCAGCATGGGTAGCTCAACTGATCCGTGGTAATGGGTTGCTGTCCATGGGCCAAAAATTGGTCATTTTTATTTGGCAAATTTCTTGGGTAATGTGAGTAGATTTCTTGGGAAGAGTTGGAATGATTTTCTTCAAGTATGAAAACGATTACTTTTTGTCTAATCAATTTATTTCTTCCATAAAGTTGCATTGGGGAAGAAAATTTAGTGGCTCCATAAAGTAGATTTGATAAAAAGTTACTTTTAGTTGTTCCATAAAGTTGCATTGGAAAAAAATTGAGTGGCTCAATAAAGTAAATGAAAAAGTAACTTTGTGTCAAATCCATCCATTATATCTCATACCAATCTCACAAATCCTGATAGTATAAATAATATGTCATTCTCTGATTCAACAACACCACAAATCCTCATGTTCTCAATTTTCTATTTCTCATTCAATATTTCTATTTCTCATCGAGCATCTAGCCCTCCACATCAATGGCAAGTTAAAGACAATGGTGTTTCCTTCTATATAGCACGTACACCACGTGTGTGTGTGTGTGTATATATATATATATATTTAATAATTACAATATAGGCTCAGATTTTCTAATCCGGGTTTAAATTTAAGGCAATATAAGAAACGAAATCGCCATGGCTGCAACAACGGAGGTTAATTCCGTTCCGCCACGCCAAGATACGTTCATTTTCTTTGATGCCTCAAACATTAAAATCCTTAAAGTTCACCATAACGGATTTCAGTCCTTGCATATCATCACAACCCTATATTTAGACACACACTCCGATGTTTGGACCATATATATATATATATATATATATATATATATATATATATATATATATATATATATATATATATATATATATATTATATATATATATATTATATATATATATATATATATATATATATATATATATATATATATATATATATATATATATATAGA